GTGTTGCCAGACACTTGCTTTCCTTCTAATAAGTTGTTCAAGAAGGAAAGAAAAACAAAAGGTGTTGCCAGACACTTGCTTTCCTTCTAATAAGTTGTTCAAGAAGGAAAGAAAAACAAAAGGTGTTGCCAGACACTTGCTTTCCTTCTAATCAGTTGTTCAAGAAGGAAAGAAAAACAAAAGGTGTTGCCAGACACTTGCTTTCCTTCTAATAAGTTGTTCAAGAAAGAAAGAAAAAACAAAAGGTGTTGCCAGACACTTGCTTTCCTTCTAATAAGTTGTTCAAGAAGGAAAGAAAATACAAAAGGTGTTGCCAGACACTTGCTTTCCTTCTAATCAGCACTTCAAAATTATCTCATTTTGTAGCTGTGTGCTGAACAACAAACAAACGTATTAGCGATATATCAATTACTTGGATAGTAGAAATAATTGAAAATAGTAAAACGGGAAACCTAATTTTGATTAGTTGATTATTTTTGTGACAAACATTGTAATTATGATTTTGATTAATCAATTTGTTTGTAACACTAATTGATATAATTTCTGCTCATAGGCAGTCAATTAAATTGCTTAACTCTATGTAACAGCATATCTGTAACGAGGTGAAAATTTTTTTTTTGCACTTGTGATCCAAGGAAACTTTAAGCAGATTCTAATATTTCTAACTTTCATGGTTCATAATTTCTTTATCACTGTTAACTGATTGTGTGTTTGATATTTATCTAGGCGGCCCTCTGCAATTCCAAGTAGTGCACGGAGAGATAAAGAAAACCATCCATTGAGAGAAAAGTCAGAAAATCTATCTGTTCTACACCCTTTGTCAACTGTAGGTATCTTTATTACTTAAATCATAGTTCTAAAGCTACATAATAGGAATTTGTTTGTCCTGTTAACAAAAAGTAATCTCTGGAACTTTTGCTCTCGTAACCTCTAATGTTGCCAAAAAAGATGTATGTCAATCTACATTACTTTTAAAATTTAATTTACAGCAATTTTTTTCTTTCGTGGTATTTTTACTTGAAGAGTTTGAAAATGTTCAAATTGTTAAAAAAATTGTATGTTTGAATATAGTTGGGTTTCACCTTGATTAGTACTCGGACATTCTTTACATGTATTGTGGCTTAAGTGTGCTGCAAGTAAATGATGGATAACAAATGAGAACTTTATCACAGTGAGACCTATATTAAACAGTGATACCATTTCTTTAAAGTATGCCACTTGTTTACTTTTTATTCTGTTTCTTGTACTGCTGTTGCTCTTTTATGATTGTTATGGTAATTGTGTTTGTAATATTGCTATGTTTTGTTCTCGTAAGCAGGATTTCCATGAAGCTTCTTTTAAGCAGAATCCTTCAAGGTTAGAAGAGAAGCTTATTGATGACACACAAATTGAGAGCAGTATGGGAAGGTCAGGGTCTCATAAAACACCCTCGAGCGGTCAGTCTTCTTGTTCACAAAGCGAAGTTATAAGAAGTGTTTTTATTCCACACATGGGATGGGCATCTCAGGTAGACCTACAGGCTTGTTTATAGTTATAATTCTATAGCAGATGAAAATGTGTTTTTGTAACTCTTATTTTTATAACTTGTAGCTTCTATGGTGTGTGTGTTCTGTAAGGTACAATAAATCAAGGATGAAAATGTCTGGAGGAGCAAAAATGGGTTATTTTAAAGGAAACCAACTGCATTTTAATTTAACATTTAGATATTAATTCAGATATAAACATTATAGCTTCTACACTGTGTAAGCTAATAAAACATTCACTTTCCACAACCAGACACTTAATTCTTTGTATGACATTATTTTTTGAATCTGATGTTTTCCCAGATAAGAACAGTTTATTTAAAATAATACTTTAATAATTTCAGATAACTTGTGTGCATTTGTATCATTGTCTTTCAGTGATAGTTTCATGTCAAGAAGTTCTAATCAATAGAGCCTGATTAGGAAAGACTGTTTGCCAGTAGTCAAGCAGACTTTCAGACTCCAGTATTTATAACAAAGGTTTTTCCACTGTATGTGTGACATAATTACATTTTCAGCCTCCTACCCATCCCCAATAATATTGCACATTTTACCTCATTGGATTTGCATGGATCTCTTGAATGACCAGTAGCATACCTAAAAAAGTGAGAAATTGTCACCCTTTTTTATATTCAGATTCCTTCACTATATAGCAATATGGAACATCTCAGGAAAACATTGTGAAATATTTAATCATGAAGTACAAAGTACCTAGAAAAAACACCTATTAATTTGTTTAGTTCATCTACAGAACACAGACTGTTTGTAAAATTATTTAGTTTTGTTATTGAATTTTATATCATCTAGCTTTATAGCAGGCTAGTTTGGCTACTCAATGTAAACTACAAAGTAAATAACTATCTTGCATCTTTATAACTGGCTAGTTTGGCTAGACAGTATAGATTATAAAGTAAAGCATATTAATTTTTTTGTTGAATTTGTGTAGTTATTGAGTGGAGATGTGTGGCTACAGTGTACAGATGGGACACAACTCAGGATTCCTGCCTCCACTACTGAGATCCACTTTATTGACATCTCTGGGAAGAAAGAGATGTAAGTAACCTTTCTAATATACATTACCTTAGACTGGTTATTGTGTGTGTGTATATATATCTAATATACATTACCTTAGACTGGTTATTGTGTGTGTGTATATATATCTAATATACATTACCTTAGACTGGTTATTGTGTGTGTGTATATATCTAATATACATTACCTTAGACTGGTTATTGTGTGTGTGTGTATATATCTAATATACACTACCTTAGACTGGTTATTGTGTGTGTATATATCTAATATACATAACCTTAGACTGATTATTGTGTGTGTATATATATCTAATATACATTTCCTTAGACTGGTTATTGTGTGTGTATATATCTAATATACATTACCTTAGACTGGTTATTGTGTGTGTGTGTATATATATCTAATATACATTACCTTAGACTGGTTATTGTGTGTGTGTGTGTGTATATATATATATCTAATATACATTACCTTAGACTGGTTATTGTGTGTGTATATATCTAATATACATTACCTTAGACTGGTTATTGTGTGTGTGTATATATATCTAATATACATTACCTTAGACTGGTTATTGTGTGTGTGTATATATATATTTAATATACAACTCCATTAGTCTGGTTATTGTGTGTGTATATATATCTAATACACATTACCTAGCCTTTATTTATCCATTTTATATTTGTTATTTTGAATCGTACAAGACACCTAATACTTTTTATTAAAGAGAACGTAACATCACCTGGTATGCAAGCTGAAGCTACAATGGTGAATTGAAGTATGAATATTGTTATTTCTGAACATTGTATGTTGTGTGTATTTGCTACAATTAACTTATCAATGGTTTCACTTATAGTGTACCTAATGTTGATCATAAAGACTTTTCTATTTTAAATAAAAGTCATATTAACTAATGATGTAAAGAACTCCACGATAAACATGTCATAGAAGTATCACTGGATTTATTTTTTATACCGGGATTCTGATGTTTGATTGTTAAAAAACAAGCCCTGGTTGTGTCATGGAGTGTTAGTTTCATAAAGTACTTTATATTCATGCTGTAGTAAATTATTTGAAAATAACTAAAACAGAGTTTGTCTTTCTTGTTACAGTTACAATCAAGATGATATTCTGCCCAATCAGCTTAAAGAGAAGCTGGCTCAACTCCCACATGTTGTAGACCAACTTGTTAAATCTGGTTCTCAAAAGGCAACACATTCTTACAGAACAGTCAGATAAAACAGTTTCCTCAGAGGTCAACAGAATAGTCCAGTAACAGAGAGTATAAGGTTGTTGTGTGGTTTTCAGAGGTCAAACAACAAAGAAGTGGTATTGTTGGAAGAACAGTAATATATTATCACTCCAGAAAAGGGACAAAACAAAAAATTTAATGTAAGTCTTGAAAGTGAAAAAAATAATTTGAATGGGTATTTTCTGATGATAAACAAGTTTGATTTAAAATTATCATTCTTGAAACAAACATTGTGACTATGTATATATATATATCTGAATTGTTAATTTTTATGTTTCAAGCTGTTATTACCATTCATTGTACAAAAATTTAATCCTTGATGATAACATATTTGTTTAAAGTTTTTCATGTGTGTGTTTATGCCATTTTATTTGAATATAAGACATACACAATTTTGTGCACATATTATTGTGTAATATTTTATTAATACAGCTTTAATATGAACGGTACAGAGACAATACTTGTCTACTACATAAGAAAACAACACAACTCGGTAATGATCATAATCGTGATATAAATATTCCAAGCTAGAACCTTCTGATATGACTTGGCAGATCCGTAACCCCACAACCCTAAATTACAGAAAGAATGGCCTACTTTCACAAGTTCTTTTACACCTTTAATACAAAATCAAGGGTAACTGTTACCGAGATGAGTGAACTGAATAATTTGAAACCCTACTACTTTTATTATCCTCATTTTTTTAATTGTGTTTTCCTAATGTTATGTTAAAATTTTCACTCTCTACTGGTATATCCTTCCTGTTTAGTCATAAAGTTTTGGTTGCCCAGTTATCTATTTTTAAATAGTTTATTCTGTAACAGTGTTCATTAAAAACTCGGTTTTGTGAACATTGGTAGGAAGGTATATGAATTATTTTGTTATATTAATAACCACACATGGGAAGTAGACAGGTTTGTTTTATCTAGTATGTGAGATTTCTTCACAGTTTATTATGATCTCATGTGTAACAACTGACATACCACACGTTTAGCAACTGTTTTCTGGCAATGTGTGTAAATCTTAGCAACCTCTATAAACACTAATACAAAAACATGCACAATGTAAGAATATTGTAAATGTATAATAAAAAGTGTACAGCCTTTCTGTATTTGCATTATTGACTTGAAAATTTCTGTGTTTAAATCAGGATAATTGATTAAACACGCAAATATTTACTTGACAACTCATAGCTAGCCAAATGTTTTCTTCTGCTTTTCAAGAAGTTGATTTTGTTCTCAAAGATAATGATCATGCTGCTACAATATCATTTTAAATTGTTAATCTCAAATTAAAAGTTGGATTTGTTAATATATCTCTAAATGTACTGTTCACCTAATTACACCTCAGATTTACAGCTATGACAGATATTTCTCAACAGTTCATGGGCTGTTACTGAATATAATTACACTTGAGATCTGTAACTGGCATCTGTTACTAAACATACAAGACAACCGTCCTTGGGCTGTTACTGAATATAATTACACTTGAGATCTGTAACTGGCATCTGTTACTAAACATACAAGACAACCGTCCTTGGGCTGCTACTGATTTACTAACACTTAACTGTTGAGAGTTACAACCGATACCTGTTAATAAATGTACACAACAACCGTCCTTGGGCTGCTACTGATTTACTAACACTTAACTGTTGTTGAGAGTTACAACCGATACCTGTTAATAAATGTACACAACAACCGTCCTTGGGTTGTTACTGATTTACTAACACTTAACTGTTGTTGAGAGTTACAACCGATACCTGTTAATAAATGTACACAACAACCGTCCTTGGGCTGCTACTGATTTACTAACACTTAACTGTTGTTGAGAGTTACAACCAATACCTGTTAATAAATGTACACAACAACCATCCTTGGGTTGTTACTGATTTACTAACACTTAACTGTTGTTGATAGTTACAACCAATACCTGTTAATAAATGTACACAACAACCGTCCTTGGGTTGTTACTGATTTACTAACACTTAACTGTTGTTGGTAGTTACAACCAATACCTGTTAATAAATGTACACAACAACCGTCCTTGGGTTGTTACTGATTTACTAACACTTAACTGTTGTTGATAGTTACAACCAATACCCATTAAAAAATGTACACAACAACCGTCCTTGGGCTGTTACTGATTTACTAACACTTAACTGTTGTTGAGAGTTACAACCAATACCCGTTAAAAAATGTACACAACAACCGTCCTTGGGCTGCTGCTGATACACCTGACTGTTGTAGAGATCTACAACCAACATATGTTTGCTAAAGGTACACAAAAACAGCCCTAGTATTCTCTGTTGACATGCACAACCGATATTTATTACTAAACAGACACATGACTATTGATGATAGGCTGTAGCTCATCTACAGATACACATAACTACACTTGAGATCATAAGTTAATCAACAGATTAGTCATAAGAGTGGACAAGTTTCCAAAACAGTTATGTCAAATACTAAAATGAACATTAATCAAGAAAGTTCCTGTAATTTTCCCATTTCTGGGTGGAATTCATCAGTTTACACACTCATATTTTAAAAAGTTTTTTCAAGGAAATGATTTATGAAGTATATATGTATATAACTTTAATAAAATTAAATCTAGTTATAATTTTAATTTGTTTTATTTCCCTTTTATGATTGGCATGAAGTCACTGCAACTTTGCTGTAATCAGATAACAGAGCTTCCTCTGTAACTATGCTGTAATCAGATAACGGAGATTACAGCATAGTTACAGTGGAAGCAAGATAACAGAGCTTCCTCTGTAACTATGCTGTAATCAGATAACAAAGCTTCCACTGTAACTATGCTGTAATCAGATAACAGAGCTTCCACTGTAACTATGCTGTAATCAGATAACGGA